TCTTGGCTCAAGGGCACATTGCTGGCTCAAATAAATTAATTCAAGTTAATTCACCAAATGAATTAATTTGATTTAAGCTGACCTTACCACCTGTTGAAGGACCTGAATATCGAGCGTGCTTCTAGTCAACGCCATCCAGTGCTAATAATCAATACTAATCTTCAAATATAACAGTGCTAATCCTCAAATTCACCTTTTTGGGCTAACTTTTGAGGAAAAACTACAACTCCAAGTTTCAGAAGCTGTTACTGTGATGTGTTACTCAACCAGAGCCCTCATGGATTATGAGAAGGATTTAATTTCTTGAGGTCGTACCGAGTTAATTTTAAGCTGTGTATCAGCGCCTGCGATTTATTTTTTAAATCCTTTAACTAATTAAAAGATTACATTTTACAAGTAAACAAAGCAAGCCCCAAACCTGGGAGCATTAATGTAGCACGAAAATGCACCCATCTGGTAGCGAAGCTGCCATCCTGGTGGTGTTCTGGTGGCAGAGGTGGGGTTTATTTTAGAAGGAATTGTGTTTAGAAACGTTGAATTTGGTGATTTTACAGCCTGGTGGTTTTTAATACCCTACTTCAGGCTTCCTTTTTGGCAAAGCCCCCCTCAGTGCTGTTTTTAAAGCTCTTTCCTGCGCAGCCAGACCCGCACCATGCCAGGAATGGGGGTCCCCTGCTCCATACAGAGGATCCCTCATGGGAGGAGGGAGCCCCCGGTGCGGCCTACGCTGAGAATGTTTGCAAAACTGGCTTAGACGTTATTCTTATACATTATTTTCTAATAAACGTGTGGGTTTATTTCCTACAATTGAGGAAATGAAGTGCGTTTAGAAGCATTGCCGAGGAGGGCTCTTGCTTTTCGTTACGTGTTCAGGAAAGCGCCGTGGTTTCCCCTGCGCCGTGGGGATGGGTTTGTGTCCTGCCTCCAAGGCAGCAGCTTCTCTGAGAGCTGCTGCTCCCCAGACCACGCTGTGACCAGCGCCACAGCCTTTTGGGCCAGTAAAAAGGCTTTTATGGCCCTTCTGTCCACTGACATCCTTATTCATTCTCGTTTTGCTGTTTTCACAGCTATTTTTGCTATTAATGGACTCTGGTGAGCTGCTGAGGTGGTCGTCCCATGCAGTCAACGCCGCCAGGCTCTTTCTCTTGTTTGTACTCTCCTCGTTTTGTAAATTTTTGTGAATAAATACCAATTTGCTTGAATGATTGCATCCCCCCCACGGCTTCTGAATAGCATCTCATTTTCCCCATCCTTACTCTGTCGCCTCCTTAGAAATGGTTTTCCTGTGTCACTATCGGGCAGGAAAAGGGCGCGCTTCACCTGTAACACGGTCCAAAGATTTCTGCTCAGTTTGGCTTAACGTCCCATTTGTGCACCTGCAGTTTCTTCTCGATACAGATGGAGGTAGCTGGCTTAAAAAATAGGGGTTTTAGGTGATGAAAAGCAGGCAGATTTGGGTTTTAGTGATGAAAAGCAGGCGGTGGCGTTGCCTGGTCCCCGCTGGCTGTCGCAGCTCCTGCGCCTGCTGCTCGGGTTCATCGTGATCAAAACCGAAAGGTGAAGTTTGTGCTTTAATTCATTCAAATTGAATTTTAGTTTTTTTTCTTAATTCTCCCTCCGGTAATAAATTCCTGTACAAACTCTAAACTAAACTGACAAGCGCTCGTGCAGCCTGCAAATAATTACCAGGGGCTGCTCTTGGAGGATTACCCTGAGCCCTGCCTGGGGGCGAGAACAGGTACGCACTGACATCTCGCAGTATTTAGTGTTTTCCCTTTTGATTTAGGTCTCTGTTTGTATTCAGCCTGTAATGCGGCTTCTGAAATGTGTCCGTGCGCATACGCTCTGCACGGCTCTGTTTTAATTAGGTAAATTAGAATGGATGGACTGTGCACGGTGGTTCAGCGTGTCCATTTTTTAAAATCCTGTTTCCCATTGTGGCATCCAGGAGGGATTACACAGCCTTTCATTTCTGAATGCCTGGTTTATGGCTTTTCATCTTTTCACTTGTAATAATAACAAAAAAACTTATAACTTAATCATTTCCAAATCACCGAGACAGTCTTTTTTAAAATTTTCCTTTGAAACCTAAATTTGGCCATATAGGAAATAGCGATTGCTTTGTTCCTGTCACTTGGTCTGTTTGGATCCATGTCTTGCTGTGTTGCTGGTGGAGCTCTTCAGGCCAGCGGTCCTCAAGAGGCAGCATCCAGCGTTATTCACAGAATCCCAGACCGTTAGGGATTGGAAGGGACCTCCAAAGCTCATCCAGTCCAATCCCCCTGCCGGAGCAGGAACACCCAGATGAGGTTACACAGGAAGGCGTCCAGGCGGGTTTTGAATGTCTGCAGAGAAGGAGACTCCACAACCTCTCTGGGCAGCCTGGGCCAGGGCTCTGTCACCCTCACTGAGAAGAAGTTTCTTCTCCAATTGAAGTGGAACCTCCTGTGTTCCAGTTTGTGCCCATTACCCCTTGTCTTGTCATTGTTTGTCACCGAGAAGAGCCTGGCTCCATCCTCGTGACACTCACCCTTTAAATATTTATAAACATGAATGAGGTCTCCCCTTCTCCAAACTAAAGAGCCCCAGCTCCCTCAGCCTTTCCACATAAGGGAGATGCTCCACTCCCTTGATCATCTTTGTAGCCCTACGCTGGACTCTCTCCAGCAGTTCCCTGTCCTTCTTGAACTGAGGGGCCCAGAACTGAGCCTTTGTATGTAAGGAAGCAATGAGCAGGAGCACCCTTCTGCGTGGAGATGGGTATATGGTGAGATGTAAACCCCAAATTTGGGGAATGTCATCACCAAATGGCAGATGTGAAATGCCAACCATTTCTTCTGCATGTTTAATGACAAAAGAAGATGACCCCACCCCAAATCTCTTCCCTCCTGCCTTTCTTCTCCCGTTGACCACGAGGAATAATGATGTTTCGCTTCATTTCCTTTCACGCAGAGAAGCTGGGCTATTGGGTGCATCAGCAGTTTGGGGGTTCAGGTGCTTCAGGATAACTTTGTTTTCATCAACAAAATACAGACTCAATTGGCAAAGTTGGTGTCTTCTGTGTTGGCATTGCCACATTTGTCTCTGTTCAAGTGGAAATGTCTCATTTGCTTTTTACCTGGGAAGTTTGGGTAGCGAGCTCCAGTTTGGCAGCACCATGGCCATGGAGGCAGGTACGGATCCGGGGCGGGTGGCAGTGGCCATCTGTGTCAGCAGTATTCATCCCTACAACCAGTGTTTTACCCTGCACAGCTATGTCCTGAAAACTTCCTGTCTAAGCAAAATACTTCTGTGATGAAAACAAGCGGACTTGGTGAGTCCAGTGACCAGCAGCACCCTTCAATTAAAATTCTAGCTCGGTTATCTTTAGCTGCTGCTGGGAAGCGCAGACCAAACCAGAGCTTCACTGGGCAGGCAGAGCCCTCTTCTAAAACATTTGGGATGGATGGAGGGGCGGCATTGCAGCAAATGCTAAAATATGGGCAGCAAAGCATCCCTGCATGCGAGGGGGAGCAGAGCCCTCAGAGCTGAACCTCTGGACCCTTTCTGTGCACCACCAGGAGTTTCCAGCTCGTCGGTGCTGGAGAAGAGCTGCTGTTTTGTTCCCTGAGATGGTTCAAATGCCATGGAAATGTGAATACTGAAAGGGTTAGTGGAGGATGAGGAAGCATCTTCCTCCCCTCCCAGCTGTGCTGTCTGTGCCTTACAGCTTTCCTCTTATTTCCTACCTCCAGACAGGCAGAATTGACAAGTCCTACCCAACGGTGTGCGGCCACACGGGACCGGTGCTGGACATCGACTGGTGTCCTCATAACGACCAGGTCATCGCCAGCGGCTCCGAGGACTGCACTGTCATGGTGAGTCTGTTTAATTTGGCTTCTGTGGGGTTTGCTTCACGCTCAAAACGCTGCTGCGGACAACGCTTGTGTTTCTAAAGAGATCTCCTGTTCCAGCACCGAGGGCTGATGGGGCCATGGGCATTCTGCAGGGCACGTTTTGTCTCAGCTTCAGAAATGATACTATCTTGGCTGCAGGACCTAGCTAAAACTTGGAGCAAGAAGAGCAGAGCGAGCTTTATTACCTGAGTATCAGCAGAATTTGGGCTCTCACAGCTGGCAGTTTCTTCTCATGTTATGTTGGAGAAGGTCAGACAGAGAATTCCTTCAGCACCGAGGTGGCATTTGGAGTAATGGCCTTGGCCTGTGTCTACCTGGCGTTGTCTTCTGCTGCTTTTCCATTTTCTCTTCCTTTGGGGATATGGCTGATGGTTGGGAAGAGGAAGAAGCAGAAAGCGCCAGTCACAGGTGATTCGTTTTGATTTGTAGAGCTTTCCAGAAGACTGAGGTGGTTCCTTACCTCAAACATCCTCATGGATGCAGTGGCATGTGGTGGGAAGGGATGGGGATTGGAAGGGGACAAGGAACAAGCCTATCTGGTTTCCTAATTGCTTCAGCCCTTAAGGGTAATGGTTTATCACAGAATATGAGGAGTTGGAAGTGACCTCAAAAGCTCCCCCAGTGCAACCCCTGCCAGAGCAGGATCACCAGAGCAGTCACACAGGAACATGGCCAGGGCTTTGGGTGTCTCCAGAGAAGGAGGCTCCACAACCTCTCTGGGCAGCCTGGGCCTCAGCAGGAGATGCTCCACTCCCTCCAGCATCTTTGTGGCCCTGCTGGACTCTTTCAAGCAGTTCCTGTCCTTGAGCTGAGGGCCCAGCACTGGACACAAGATTGCAGCTGTGGTGTGAGCAGGGCAGAGCAGAGGGGCAGGAGAACCTCTCTGCCCTACAACCACCCCTTCTCATCCACCCCAGGATGGCGTTGGCCTTCTTGGCTCAAGGGCACATTGCTGGCTCATGGGCATTGCTGTCCACCAACACCACAAGTCCTTTTCTGCCTGACAGCTCCAGCCACTCATCCCCAAGCCTGTAGTGTCCATGGGGTTATTGCACCCAAAGTGCAGGACCCGGCACTTGGCCTTGTTGAAGCTCATCCAAGTGGCCTCAGCGCATGGATTCAGCCCATCCAGGTCCCTCTGCAGAGCCTTCCTACTCTCAGGCAGATCAACACTCCCTCCCAACTCAGTGTCATCTGCAAACTTGCTGAGGGAGCACTCAATCCCCTCATCCAGATCATTGATAAAGATGTTAAACAGGACAGGCCCCAAAACCAAGCCCTGGGGAATTAATTTAATTTCTTCCTCTATCCACAGGCTGTGAGTATATGCCAAAAAGTTATGTTTTTAGTAAATAAATAAAAAATAATCCAAATTCTGCACCTGCCACCCTTGGTCCCAAGACCTCTCTTCCCTCAGCCAGGGAGAACAACGGCCGACCTTGCTCCGCAATGGACGTGGAATCCTGTGCATGCAAACACGGCGCGAGGAGCGAAGGAAAATCCTTGCGAGATGAAATAATGCCAAATAACTCCAGTGATCTTTGGCCATATTTAGAAATGCTGTAGGCTGAATGTTATATTGAAACCTTATTATAGATCATGTCAGATAAATTCCTTTGCTTCTGTTCAGCGTTAAAATGTTTGGGAGGGGATTCATCCTGAGAGGCTTTTCCTGGGACAGCTCTTGCCTGTTGATCTCTCGGTCTTGGAAGCTGAAGCATGTTAACAAAATGCGCTATATTTAATGTGAAACCAAACAACAAGCTTCTGCTTTTGTAACGTTCGCTACTGGGCTAGGACTGGGCTTTGAAGGAATTTTCCTCCAGAAACCAGGATCCAGCAGGGCTTTGAGTCGCAAGAAGCGGTCTCTGAAACATGAGCATCAACAGCAGCGGGTGAAGCTGAGGTCCAAGGCTGCCTTTGTGGAGGCCAAATAAGTCTCTAATCCGAGTGCAATGAGAAGTATGTTGTGAGGCTCCAGAGGGATTGGATTATGTAGAAAAAGCCAGCAGTGTTTGATTGCGAGTTGTCCAAATGCTCCTGTTGCAGACACAAACTGTGAGGATCTGAGCCCAAAACGAGCTCCATGGGACAGGGGTTCAACACGTGTGTGGTTCATGGTGTGGGAGATGTTGGGTGCTGGAGGTCTGAAGAGCTGAGGAAAGAAAGCAAAGAGGACTGAAGACGTAAGGTGAATCTCCTGTTAAGCATCACAACTTCTGATGGGACAGTACTGGACTGCAGAATGGTTTGGGTTGGAAGAGGCCTTTAAGGGTTACCCTGCCATGGGTAAGGGTTACCCAGTCCAACCCCTGCCATGGGACATCTTCACCTGGGTCAGGCTGCTCAGAGCCTGTCCAGCCTGGCCTTGGACATCTCCAGGGATGGGGCAGCTCCCTGCACACCCTGTTCCTGTGTCCCACCACCCTCAGCATGAACAACTTCTGAATCCACCCTTGAGGATGCATCCCAAATCGTTTGGGACAGCCGTTACCTGGACTGCACAGAGCTGGGGTATGTAAAGAACAACCCTGGCCTGGGCTGCTTGGAAACAAACTGGATGAACTGATGAACCTTCCCATTTTTAATTGCCTTTTTGTCCTGGCAAAATTTTAGCATCCTGTTTTCTTTGGGTTTCTCCAGTAGAGATGTTGGAGTCCTGCTTCCTGCACAGCCTGTCACTGAGTAAACTCATCTTTAATGGATATGTGGCTGTTCAGCAGCTCTGAACTCTGCGTTGGCCGACGTGAAATGAGAAAAAGTGATGGGTAGAGGAAATCATGTGGCTTTCAGAGCTGCTGTTAAAAAAGTACCGTATGATTTTGAAGCTCATGTGTGCCTCAGCACTCAAGGATTTGGGATCCTACCCTCTGCCACAAAAGATCTCACCAACACCAACTGGATACGTGTGGAGGGAAGATCATTGAGATGTCCGTGGGATGCAGAGGGCCACAACTTTGGGCTGCCTGCAGCCTTTGTGTCGCACAGGGAAGGTTAATTTGGCCCTTTCAAAACCATATAAATACAAACCCAGATTTGTTGAATGTCTCTCTTCTTTTGCAGAAGTTGCTCTCAGAAAGCCTGCCTTTACCACGCTGTGGCGTGCAGGTACCTTCGACGACCTCCTCTGCTGTTCTTATTGAATAGTTGCTTTCTTGTGCCAGCAAATAAGGCGTTGCTTAAATGTTCGCGCCTGATGTTGTGCTGAGTGACTGCAATGTACTGCAGGATTTTTAATTCAGCTGGAAAATGTTTGATGATAGAGAGGTTTGCAGATGGTATCAGATGGCCCTTCTTGTATACGGAAAATTAGCTTCATCAGGAGGTGAATGCTAACGAGTTTGGGTGGACCGGCCGTGCAGAGCCTGTTTGACTGAGCAAACTGTTTTAAAAATTAAACCAGAGCCCTTGCAATGGGCGACCCAGGACTCAAACCCCTTCATTTCCTCAGGTAATGTGGATTAGGAATTTGTTGCTTCTAGAAATTGCAGGTTGGTGCAGAGCCAGGAGAAGAGAGAGGTTTTGGTTCTCTGTAAAGCGCTGCAAAATTGGCTTTATTTTCCCCCTCACGTGCTGTTTGTGCAAAACCTTCCCCCTCCCGAATGAGACCCAAACCTCTCCGCACTGCCGTGGTGTGACTTCACTTCCTCCATCGCAAACAAACCGGCCGCGTTCACTAAAATAAACCCCAAAAACCAGAACCCCCTCACAAGTGGGAGAGCTGGCAAATCGCTCCTGGTACCCAATGGATCTTGTGGTATTTTAAGGTTTCTTTTTTGAGCTGAGTCCTCACCTTCAGCAGCCTGGGCCCTGCATCCAAAAAGTGCCTTAATTTACCCCCGCATGGGATTTCATCCCACGCTGCAGCCGCGCACCCCACCCCGTGCAGGAATGAGTGGGCTGGGGCGCTGGGGAGGATGCCCTGACCTTGACACTCCTGCCTTTTTTTTTCCTCTTATTTTTGCAATACCAAGCAGGATTATTAGGTCAATAGTTTCTGTAATCTGCAGAGGATTACACTGCTCTGCAGCTGCTGTAAACTATAGGGGCTTTCCCTTAAAATAAAAAAAACCCCTGTGCTCCAGAGGCTTTGAAAAATCCTTTTCATTGGTATCTTCCCTCTGATGTCTCCCTTTCCCACCCCCTGCACACGTTTTAATGTGGTCCTGGAGTTTTCTGGTGTGCAAGTTAACTTTGTGATGAAGCTGAGCTCACACCGCCCCTGGTTCTTTGGTGAATAAATTCAATTTTTGAAGCTTCCCCCACAAATAGGATGAGGCTGAGTGAGTCGGGGCAGGTCACTGTATCGCAGAGGGAGACCTCATCACCACCTACAACTGCCTCAAGGGAGGTTGTAGAGAGGTGGGTGCTGGGCTCTTCTCCCAGGTGATGGGGGATAGAACAAGGGGAAACGGCACCAAGCTGTGCCAAGGGAGATTCAGGTTAGAGATAAGGAGGAAGTTCTGTACTGAGAGGGTCGTCAGAAGCTGGCACAGGCTGCCCAGGGAGGTGGTGGAGTCACCATCCCTGGATGTGTTTAAGGAGCGGGTAGATGAGGTACTTAAGGATATGGTTTAGTGGGTAGACAGGAACGGTTGGACGTGATGATCTCAGAGGGCTTTTCCAACTGAGCGATTCTGTGATTCTGTGATTCAGTATGTATCTCAAGGGGGAAAAACCATCCGTGTTCATCAAAGTTTGCCATTTTTGAGAGCTCCTCAAGGCCCTGGAGTAAGGAATTGGAGTAAGCGAGCAGGACCACATCCTGCTTTTCCAGCTCAGGTTTGCAGCCTGATTTTTAAAATGTGCTTAAATCCTGGGTTTCTGTCACCTAGCGCTGTTCCATCAGGCAGGAGAAAGGGATTTTCAACCTTTGCAGAGGAATTTGTGTGCCTGTTCCTCCTGGGGTGCTGTTGGTTGATGGTGCCAAGAGCTGCGCCGGTGAAAAATGCAGTAATTTTAGGGTTAAGTAGAGGTGAGCTGGTAGGCACTGCGAATTTGTGCATCTCCGAGGTTTGTATCTGAGCAGCAGCCACCCCTGCGAGGAGGGAGAAGCCGGGATTAGGCAGAAACCCATCGCCCTCACGCGTCTTCGTCCGCATCGCTTCAGAAATCTGCTGGGGTCGCATCTGCTCCCTCTGAAAAAGCAAACAATAGCGGGCGAAGCAAATGCGCTCTGATGCTGCCACCTATCTATGGGCAGCTAGAATGGCTGGCTAATGGGCTCGCTGTTTAAGTTTTTGATTAATTATGTAGGTCAAACTGAGTTCAAAGCCAATTGTCCGAGGCTGGATTGCAGGAATAGTTTTGGTGGCGCTGGTCCTGCCCTGGGGCAGGGGGTGATGGGTTTTGTCTCTCCCATCCCTGGTCCCTGCCAGTTGCAGATGGTGCCAAAAGCAGCTGTGAGGCTGCAGCTGGGATTTCTGCGCTTGGAGATCCTTAGGGATCTGCTCCTCCTCCTCCTGGTGGCGCTTTCCCGCAGATGCCAGCACCAGGAGGGTTGTGTAACCGAGCCGGCTCGCTGCGTTCGTGCCTGTTCGCTGGGGCTGCTTTCACCTTTGCCAGCGCCAGGCTGTACCTCCCCAGCTAAATGGCATCTGAGAGGAGGCTCTGACCGTGCTGGGAAAACTAATTGCCAGGATTTCTAAAGGGAGAATTGCTGCAATCACATCCCTGCGAGGGACAAGCAGAATCTGGGGAGGCAGCAGCTTGTTCAGATGGAATTTGAGCTGCAAGGCACATTTTTCTGAGTCCTTCTCAGGCAGTGTCTGACACGGACGGGTCTCTAGATGCAGCATGAGTAGCTGCTAGTTTGTGCTGGCAGGGAAGGACATTAAAAACCAGCCCAGCCAAATTTTATTGGTGTCTGGGAATGCTTCCCTCCCGATTTTCTCTTCCCATTTATACCCAGAAGTGACCACTCGGATTTCTGCCAAGGCGCACTCTTGAGAGAGGACGGCCCTTGGCGTGACCACCTTTCCTTCCCCCTTTGCAGGTGTGGCAGATTCCCGAGAACGGGCTCACGCTGTCCCTGACGGAGCCGGTGGTGGTGTTGGAAGGCCACTCCAAGAGGGTCGGCATCGTGGCGTGGCACCCGACGGCGCGCAACGTGCTGCTCAGCGCAGGTACGGCACGGCGGGCTCAGTGCCGCTCCCTCGCGTTTCGCTTGCACACCGGGTATTTTGGAGAAGGGCTCATTGGGTCCTTTCCCTTCTTGTCCTCTCCGGGCTGCTCAGTGAATCACAAGACTGATGGTAGTGCCTGAAAACACTGGGGCACGTGGCTCACAGCCCCCTCCTTATCTTGGCCTTTTATTATCTTCAGTTTGCAGGGACAAGAGGCAGGAAATTGTCTGGAGGCATGAATTGCAGTATTAAAATGGTTCCAGGCTTTATTTGATCTGCAGGTTTCATTCACTGACAGCTCTTTGCATCTGCACTCACCTCATCCCTGTTTTCTTACACTTTTATACAAGGCCCAACGGTTTCTGCTTTCAGCTGGACCCTGAGATGAGCTGTGTGTTCTCTGTGGATAGAGATGCCTGTGAAGGTACCAGTTGGGTTTTGATCTGGTTTCCCCCAAAAAAATGCTTGGAGTTGCAGACCTTATGGCAGTTACCATAATGAAACTCAGTGCGAGAGCGTACAAAAGGAGAAGGTTTTTGATCTTGGGTAGCTTTGCAGACTCCTGCACAGCTGTGTGTGTCCAGCATTACCTGTAAGAAACACGGAGGAGAAGGGATGCTGTCGGGTCATTGCAGTCTCCAGGGTGACCTGGTGACCACAAACTGATTTGGGATGTCTTTTGTGCCCTTTGGAAGCAGGAAGTGATGGTTGTCTTTTGCCTCGTTCCATGTTTTCTCCCCTCCGGAGCCTTAGGAGAAGTTGCTCAGTCACACATTGTGCTTCTCCTCCCTTCCCTGCTCCCCCAGTCCTGTTGCTGCTTTGCTGTCATCTCATCCTGGGCTCTCTTCTTCGTCTTGTGAGAGCAGCGCCCCAATCCCCTAACACAAACCACCTCCTTTGTTTGGGACAGCTACAGCACCTCCCAGAAGGTGCTCAACACTTTAAGGGAGGAGTTTTGTGCCTTCCCTGCCTGCTTGGTCCCTGAGCGTGGATCTGAGTGAGGATGCACTGCCTGGGGCCTCAGGTACACAGCGTGTTTAGGAGGCAGCACCTGAGGCTTTGGAGACGCAGCGGTTTTATTCCTTATCCCCTGCTCTTGGCTTTTTTCTCCCCTGTATATGCCAGTGTTTGTGACTTTAGCTGTTGTTTTCTGGTTTAGGCTGCGATAACGCGATCATCATCTGGAACGTGGGAACAGGTGAAGCCCTCATCAACTTGGATGACATGCACGTGGATATGATTTACAACGTGAGCTGGAATCGCAACGGCAGCCTCATCTGTACAGCTTCCAAAGACAAGAAAGTTCGCATTATTGACCCCAGGAAACAAGAAATCGTTGCTGTAAGTTTGCATGAGCATTAAAGGAGTGACTGGGTTTCATTCTAGTAGCGAGTTAGCAGGAGCTCTGAGAGGAAGAACCTTCTTGCCTGGGATATACACAGCGTTTAGTTGTGTTTTTCAAAGCGAGGAAAAAATTACAGGAGGGATAGCAGTGGTTGAAGGATTTGTCTGGGTTTACTGGGATTAGTGTTTGAACTAGGATTTTAGGGCTCAGTTTTAAAACCTGCAGGAGTGTAATTCCACATCTAATCCTTTTGTATAATTACAGCTCTGAAGTTGCGTATGCAAAGCGGAGATTTAGCAGGCTGCGTACGTGTGGTAGCTTGCAAAGAAGTCTTCCCTCAACCTCATAAGAGTCTGATGGGCAAAGCTGAGAGGAGCCAGGAGCGACTGCTTCTTTTGTACTTTAGTAATGGGTTTCTTCTCTCAGGCAGCGAGCAGCGACAGTTGGGTGTTGAAGAGAATCCACTGCCCGCTGGGCTTTCCTGTTTGTCGCCAGCCACTGACTGTGCATCTCTTGCAGGAGAAAGAGAAAACCCACGAGGGAGCCCGGCCCATGCGAGCCATTTTCCTCGCCGATGGAAACATCTTCACGACCGGCTTCAGCCGCATGAGCGAGCGGCAGCTGGCCCTCTGGAACCCGGTATGGCCCTGTCCCCTCACCGCTTGGCTGTCGGCATGTCTGTACCAGCCCAGAGCTCACCAAATTCATAGCTCGTGCACCTGAGCGTGTTCCCTCCTCCACCTCCTGCCTGCTCTTTAGGATATTCACTCAGTACAGGAAGCTATTTCTCTTGTATCAATCCCTGCCTCGCCCAGAGCAGCGATGGAGCTGAGGTTTGAAGTGTCTGAGGTGGACGCGGAGCAGAGCGGCTCTGTGATGGTCGCTGCGTTCTGCGTGGTTTATATGCAGAGCGAGGCAGCAGCCATCCCATCACGCCGGCACAAGGCACTCGCTAACACGGCTGTCACATCTTTCCCTTGGCATCGTGAATTTTCTTGGGCCCTGCTTTTACTGCATTTTGTGGTTAAAATGGCCTTGGGGAATGAATGAGCTCGTGAACATTTACATTTGTTACTGTGGCGCACAGAGCCTTCAGGGTGGTGAGGACACCACTGAGTGTTCAGTGGCTACCAAGAACTGTCAGTAATTTAGATCCATGTTAACACGAGCTTTTCCATTCTTCATTAACATCACTGGCATTTTTTTTATTTCCAGAAAAACATGGAGGAGCCAATAGCCCTTCACGAGATGGACACCAGCAATGGGGTCCTGCTGCCATTCTACGATCCGGACACCAACATTATTTACCTGTGTGGCAAGGTAAAGTGAAGCTTTGGGAAGGGCTGGGTGTGTTTAGAGGGAGACTCCTCTTGAATCTCTGGTATGAGATTAATTTACTTAAGTAAAGCTGCTCATCAAGCAGCAAGTCAGATACCATCATCAAAACATCTCGTGTTGGTGTCGAGCCGAGCGGTTGTTCGTTAGCGTGGGGGAAGGTACGTTTTAGATGTTATCTTCCTCCTGCTTGCAGATGATGGAGCGTGCAGCAGCACTCGCTGCTGTTCTGCAGGGTTAAATAATAGAAAACTGGAATCACGTGCTCCTTTCTAAGAGCAATTTGGAGCCATTAAGTGCTCTAAAGTGGTGTAGTAGAATTGCAGGGAATCAACCTTAATGATCCTGTGGCTGCATTTCTTGCAGGGTGACAGCAGCATTCGCTACTTCGAGATCACGGACGAGTCCCCCTACGTTCACTACCTCAACACCTTCAGCAGCAAAGAGCCGCAGCGAGGCATGGGGTTCATGCCAAAGAGGGGCCTTGATGTCAACAAGTGTGAGATTGCCAGGTAGGAGGGAGGCTGACGGGTTTGGGGGTGTCGCAGTAATGCACCCCATTGTGAGCTCAACTACTCAGAAATGGGAAGTTCTGCTCCTGGGCGTAGGACCCTGCTCCTAAGTGTAGGACCCTGCTGCTGGGTGTAGGACCCTGCTGCTGGGTGTAGGACCCCGCTGCTGGGTGTAGGACCCTGCTCCTAAGTGTAGGACCCTGCTGCTGGGTGTAGGACCCTGCTCCTAAGGGTAGGACCCTGCTGCTGGGTGTAGGACCCTGCTCCTAAGTGTAGGACCCTGCTGCTGGGTGTAGGACCCTGCTCCTAAGGGTAGGACCCAGCTGCTGGGTGTAGGACCCTGCTCCTAAGTGTAGGACCCTGCTGCTGGGTGTAGGACCCTGCTCCTAAGTGTAGGACCCTGCTCCTAAGTGTAGGACCCTGCTCCTGGGTGTAGGACCCAGCAGCTGGAAAGGCCTCTGTGCCTCACCGTTGCTTCTGCAGCGTTGGTTGGGACCTGCAAGCGATGTGCGTGAGCGGCAGAACCGAGGCCGCCTCCACGCGTCGTTGCCTGTCCTCATGCCTAAATCGTGCCTTTTCCCTTTCCTTCAAAGGTTCTTCAAGCTTCACGAGAGGAAATGTGAGCCCATCATCATGACGGTTCCTCGAAAGGTGAGCACCACCTCCTGCTTGTGCGGTTTGGAGCCTGCTGGTGCCCTCCAGCCCCAAAGCACTTGACCAATTCATCTCTTCTGGCTTGCAGTCGGACCTCTTCCAGGATGACCTGTACCCCGATACAGCCGGCCCTGAAGCAGCCCTGGAGGCGGAGGAGTGGTTTGAGGGGAAGAACGCCGACCCCCTTCTCATCTCCTTGAAGCATGGGTACATTCCGGGCAAGAACAGGGACCTGAAGGTGGTCAAGAAGAACATACTGGACAACAAGCCTGCCGCCAACAAGAAGAGCGATCTCATAAATGCTCCAAAGAAAGCAGCCGATGCCTCAAACACCGTGAGTACAACCCACAGGGTTTTGGGGATTACCAGGGTGCTGCATCTCCAGAAATAGCTATAACAAAGCTTAAGCGTGTCTGGTTTGAGTACCTGGGGACTGAGAGACCTGGGGTTGAGGTGGTGCGGGAGTTGGGGTGTTCCAGGTGAGGTTTGTGTAGCTGTGGAAGATGATTGGGGATTGTGGCACCAGAGGCAGCTTGGCTTGCTGGTCCCAGCCACCTGCCTGCCTGGGAGAGCTGCTGTGCACCTCCCTTTTGTGTAAAACCCAGCACAGACTTTGGGACAAGTGAACCCCAGCCCGGGCAGGTCCAGAAGGAGGTTGTACAAGTCTGAAAGTGGGGGGTATAGTAATGTAAGCGATGGCTGTCAATCAGATAGGTCCTTAAATGCTGTTAAAGATCTTGGTCCTGTGTGGCCTTGGAGCAGGCACTGCTGCTTCTGGAGGCGCTGGGCCATGCCCCGAGCATCAGCAATGCCACGGTGCCCATCCCAGGCGCGTTCTGCGCTCGCAAATTGTACAGCTGTTTGGTTGGAAAAGACCTTTAGGATGATGGAGTCCAACCGTGGGTCTGGTCTTGTCTTCCAGCAAAACGAAGCCAAATTGGATGAGATTTTGAAAGAGCTGAAATCTATAAAAGACACGATCACCAACCAAGACGAGCGCATTTCCAAGCTGGAGCAGCAGATGGCAAAGATCGCGGACTGAGCGGGGCCAGCACAGGCACATTCCAGTTCCCCCAGTTCGGCAGCGCGCAGCATTCCAGTACGAGCTTTCCTGTTCTCCCAAATTCACGTCAGCGAGAGCCGATGATTAAAAGCCAAGCTTTTTAGTGAAAGATATTTTTTTTTTTTCTCCTCCTGATGTTTTAATGAATTTCCGTGACTGTGTCAAACGAGTCAAAGAGAATAAGTGCTACTTTTACACCTTTTTTTTTTTTGTTCTCCAGATGTTACAAATTCTCGAAAACAAATCCATTCTGACTTTTCAATGTTGTGCCCAAATATCTTTTTTTTTTCTAGATTTAGGGACCAATGCCACATTGTTCTTAACCATTTTTTTTTTTAAAGTTGCCAAAAAAAAAAACCCAGAAAAAAAGTCGCTTTTTATTTTTCTTATTTGCCACTTTGCAGTGTTTGTGTTTTACATTCAGAGGGACAGCACGGCGTTGGGGGGGGGCGGGTGTGGGTGTGTGTGCGCCTGGTGGGTGTTTCCACTGTTCGGAGAACAAAACCGCAGCTGTATTTTGTATAAATCCCCAGTTTGGAACGATCAGATGGGTTTCCTTTCCTCGGAGATCACAGGAGCTGCCTTTCCTCACGTGTCCCCAGCACCGCAGTCTGGCAGCGCTAAGAAAAAAATACAAACCAGTACTGAACAAGGTGATTCGTGCCGCAAAAACCCCTCTTCTCCTTTTACACCCCGAAAACCTTTATAACTAGCATCACGTCGCCCTTTGAAACCAGTCCCATGCTTTGGATTCCTCTGGCCATGCCCAAAATGCCATCTTTTAATTGCCTTTTTTTGAAACTTTACTTGGAGGCGGGAGTTTCTCTCGCGCGGGAGGTGTTTTTAAGGGGTTTTTAGTGATTCCACGCCGAGTTCAGAGTTGGAGCTGTGCCGCTGGCAGTGACCGTGTTCTCCATTGCTGTAAATACTCGTTCCTGCACCGCCGCGCTCCTCGGCTCCTCGAAACTCCTAAAACTCTGCAGACTCGCGATGCCGGAGCCCCTCGCGTTAGCGCTGATGTTCGAAACTCAGGCTCGGTTTCCAAAGCAGCAGCCGGGTGACTTTATCACGACAGCAACAAAAGGCCTCTGTTATTTTTCGTTAATCTAGATCTGATTTGATTTTTCCACCGCCCCACCGTGCTGTAAAGCACAGCAGGAAATTCCTCATTCCCGGATCCTAATGGTGCCCCCATCCCCAGCCCCCCCTGCACTCCTGGGACTGGGGAGCGCGGTTGTGACCCCAGTTTGGGAACTGGTTTCTCACGGGGTCCTTCAAGCCCCCCTGAGCGCACTGGGCTCCTTGGGGACTTTCTTGGGTGCCTCAGCCAGGCCGAAGTGATAAGTTTTTAAAATTTTCCGTTAGTTTAGCTGGAAATGGTCCCATTCTCCCTTTTTCCCGGTGTTTGCATGTGCAGAACTTGAGGATTTGGGGTTTTCTGTTGAGAGGGCTGGGTACGTGTGCGCAGGTGAGGCCACGCCGTGGGGATGGAGCTGGAGAGGCAGGAGAAGGGGCCGCGAGGAGGACGTGTCGTCGTTGCATCGCATGAAAGCTTCCTAAAAAAAGTGTGGGAGGGAGGGGAAAAGGGGGGGGGTTCTTCATTTTGGGGAGGGACGAGCGTCCCCAGCCCCTGTGTCTGTGACCGCTGGAGCCGCAGTCCGGACGCTCCGGGTTATTTGAATGTTCGGTGACGTTTTTGTATCGCAGTAAAATGGCTGAGATGATGTGTATTTTTATTATTAATTTTTAATTTTTGGAAAGCAAACCCAAACGTTAACGCTCCCCTCTCTCCTCCCCCAGCAGTGATCTCTGTGTCCGTTTGTACGCGTGACTTCAGGCTTGGGCGCTTGGGGACGTTTTGGGGTGGTTTTTATTTTATTTCGAATTGGAGGGAAATAAGATTTGTGAGCCGCTGGATGGAAATGCCCAGGGATGGGGGGTGGTGATGGCCCGAGAGGGGCAGAGGAGAAGCCGCCCCAGCGTTTCGTTGGTCGCCTGTATTTTATTTAAATGAACTGATGCCTCGCCAGGCTCAACCGGAGTCAGTGCCTGAAGCTTTTTGTAGCCGTGATATCCCAGAAGAGAACCAGCCGAGTCCTGAAAGATGCGCTCTTATAGAGCGGCCATAGTTATCTGTCCAAATATTTGCTTCCATTTTCAAAAAGATAAAAAAAAAAAAAAAAAGTCATTGATTATAAACCTGCTCTGCTTCTCTGCTCTTTTCTTTCGCTCCCCGGGTTGTTACGAGGCGGCACCGCCCTCGCCCACGGCGACAGGAACCCGGGGGTGAGGCTGTGGCTGCTCGGTCCTCTGGGACCACCCCCAGGGTCACGAGTGAACCCCAGAGCGTGGCTGGATGTGGGACTCGGTGGTTTGGGGGGTCTCGAGGGAGCGGTTTTGGGAAGGAGCGGCACCGTCTCGCCCTCTATTTCACAACCGCAAACCCAGCGGTGCCTGGGGAGGGGACAAGGATGGAGGCGATGCTCCCTGGTCCCCTCCCAGGGGATGCTCATCCCTCCATCACCAACCTGAACCCTATTTTCAGACGCTGGCGAGAGCCGGGACCCTCTTCCTGCCCCCACGGCCAGGAGATCTGTTGAAGGGTGAATGCCCCGGTGGCACAGGGGGATAATGGGGGTGGTTTGGGCTGTTTACGGCCCCGGGCGGCAGCCGCAGGGCGTTCTC